AGATAGTTAGTTGACTTTTGACATTTTCCAATGAAGTTAGGCGCTCACGCGTTTGCATCCACAAAACAGACAGACACCACTCTCCTCTCCACGCCTATAAATTGCGCTTTAAATTCCCTAAGTTTGACAACAAACACTCAAAGCTGAAATAAAAGAAAAACTATATAAATATATATATATCACCACTGAAGTACTATATATTATCCATGAAAGATCAGTTTACAGGCACCATCTTGCAAAGCGAGGCACTTGCCAAGGTGATCACAACTCATCATTTTCTATCTTTATAATTTGGACATTAATTCCAAAAAAAAATCATTTCATTTATTATTGATCATCAACACAATATATATATATATATTTTGTCTTGTAATTTTATTGCATATATGTGATTTATGATTATTTGATGGCCGGCCTGTGATATATTTTATTATGGCATGGCAGTACATATTGGAAACAAGCGCTTATCCAAGAGAGCATGAGCAACTCAAGAAAATAAGGAAGGCCACCGTCGACAAGTATCAATATTGGTACGTACGTATGTACCTAGCTATGAACATTAATTAATTAGAGAGAAGCTGATTCAATTTTAAACGAGTTTGATGAACGTGACGGCCGTTTATTCGAACGTACAGGAGCTTGATGAACGTGACGGCGGATGAGGGCCAATTTCTTTCAATGTTGCTGAAAATTATGAATGCCAAGAAAACAATTGAGGTTGGGGTTTTCACTGGCTACTCCCTTCTATCAACTGCTCTTGCTCTACCTCATGATGGCAAAGTAAGTTATATATACATATCCTAATATATTAATTAATTTATGCCAAGAAAATAAAATTTCTCTTCTATGTCAAGATTTCTTAATTTCTTCTTCAAATTAATTTAGATAATAGCTATTGATCCGGATAGAGAAGCATTCGAGACTGGACTGCCGTTTATCCAAGAAGCAAACGTTGCACACAAAATCCAGTATATCCAATCCAACGCCATGAAAGTCATGGAGCAACTCCTCATCAAGGCACGTATACGTATTTTTGGATTTTTATTCTATATTTTCGAAACAATAGAGTAGCTAGCTAGAAAATCAAAATAATGACATTCACATGATATTTCCATTTACAACGACTATTAGTTACGTTATATATTCTTCCTCAAACCATTTGGATCATTGTATACGTATAGGGAGAAGAAGGAACGTTCGATTTTGCATTTGTGGATGCTGACAAGGAAAATTACATAAACTATCACGAGAAGCTTATGAAGCTTGTTAAGGTTGGGGGAATTATTGCCTACGACAACACCCTGTGGTCGGGGACTGTGGTGGCTTCCGAAGATGCCGAGATGGAAGATTTCTTGAGGGGGTGTAGAGGACACATTATGGAGTTGAACACTTTCTTGGCTAAAGATGCTCGGATTGAATTGGCTCAACTTTCCATTGGGGATGGAGTTACACTTTGCAAGCGTCTCAAATAGCCATTTCATTAGTTTGGTTTCATCATTTTATGTAATATACTATATATGATTGCATGTAAGCTTGGAAATTGTTGGTCTTGTTGTTGTATTTGCTTTTCTTTATTGCTTTGCAATTTGACAAATTTCTATTTCTTATAGTTTAAATTTTGTAATAATTGTATTTACTTTGGGACAAAACATATTAATGGTTTGTATTGTTAAATTAAACGAGTCATATTCGATTCGGTTTGAGTTAGAGATGTTAACGAACCAAGCTCGAGCTCATTTAAAGCTCGTTCGGTTAATGGGTCGAGCCTCATTAAAGCTCGAAAAGTGAACTTTTATATAATTTGTTATAATTCGGCTCTAGTTTGAGTCCTTAACGAGACGAATTCGAGCTCATTTAAAGCTCATTTTTTGTTAATGAGTCGAGCATCATTAAGGTTTGAAAATATAATTTTTTTCATAATTTTTTATTGTTCGGACTCATTAAAACCAAAAATCACTCGTTAAGACTAGATCTCAAAGAACATGAGCCGAGCTCGATTTGTAACTTATTTATGTAGATCTAGGAGATATAATATTTTTCTAACGAAAAAGAAATAGAAATTGATATATAGAAATTGATATAAATAAATAAACAAAAGTTGGTCGAGAAAGTTCCAACTAATTTCACCTACAAGGTATCTTCTTTCTTCTTGATTAGTCGCGAAAAAGGAAATGTCATCATACTTCCGCCACGTGGCATCATATATATCGTCAGTTTACATCACTCCTCGAAAGTTTACATCGAATCTCGAAACCATAGCCCTGACGTTAAAATAAAGATTTAAAGCTCACACTATATACTTACTGTGTGCATACTTGAAGCAATCAAGAATCACGACTTAAACCAGAATTATTTCTCATTTTTCGACGATTTTCCCGAAAACAAGCTATGGCGTCGTCTCAGGTAATTTTTTTTTTTTTT